ACATGGGAAGAATTCTCCAAGGCTGTGCTACAACGATTTGGTCCAACCGACTATGAGGATCCGTCGGAAGCTTTAACTCGCCTCAAGCAAACTACAACGGTGGCAGCTTACCAAGAAGCCTACCCGAGAGTTTTCTCATTGGCTGTTTTATTGCAGGACTTCGCGATGACATTCGTATAGACATGAAGATTAAGCAGCCGAGAACCTTGATAGACACGATCGGAGTTGCTCGACTAATTGAGGAGCGGAACCAACTACAACGGAAATCGAACCAGCAAGTTCGATCCCAACCAGCCGTAGTATCCCAGAGGGGGTCACCTAACCCAATGGCAGGTGTGCTCAGGCCTCCACCAACCCAGCGCACGAACCAGGTTCCCAGCGCTCCACCAGCAACATTCCGGCGACTCACCAACCAGGAGGCGCGAGAACGTCGCGAGAAGGGATTATGTTACTACTGTGATGAGAGGTTCACCGCTGGCCACCGTTGCGAACGACCACAATTATTCATGATCGAGGATCCCGTACAGGCGGACACGGAGAATGACGAGCCAGAGGCAGAGAACCAAGAAGCGATTCCTGAGATCTCCTTCCATGCAATTGCAGGAGCTGAGCACCCGCAAACCATACGCGTTCTAGGTAAGCTGAAAAACAAGAACGTGACGGTGCCTATTGATGGCGGCAGCACCCACAACTTCATTGATCAAGCCATAGTCTCTAAGTTCGGGTTACCAGTGAACCGAGACAAAAAAATCCAAGTTATGGTCGCCAACCGGGAAAAGATAGAATGTGTGGGGCAGTGCCGGGCTCTCACTCTCACCATCCAAGGGCATCCCATTACTGCTGACTACTACGTTCTCCCAGTTGCGGCATGCCAGCTGGTATTAGGAGTACAATGGCTAGAAACTCTTGGACCCATCGAGATGGATTACAAACAGCTGACCTTGGCGTTTAAGAAGGGAGGAGTCTCTTGCACCTTCCAGGGAGTGGGACGAGCCAACATCAAAGCCTTGACCGACAAGGAGTGCAATGGATTACAAGGTACGGGGTTCCTTTTCCAAATAGTTCCTTCAAACTGCATTAGCCAACCTAGTTGCTATCCACCTGAGATGGACCACATTCTAACCGAGTTTTCTCATGTATTTGAGCCGCCCACCAACCTGCCTCCTAAACGACCACATGACCATCAAATTCCGCTCCTTCCCGACAAGGGACCAGTTAGTGTGAGGCCATATCGGTACCCATATTACCAGAAGACGGAAATAGAAGAAATGGTGAAGGAGCTTCTGCAGTCGGGATTGATAAGGCCAAGCAACAGCCCATTTTCATCACCGGTTTTGTTAGTGAAGAAGGCTGATGGAGCTTGGCGATTTTGCATGGATTACCGAGCACTGAACGACATCACGGTTAAAAACAAGTACCCCATTCCTGTGATTGATGAACTATTAGATGAGCTCCACGGRACCAAATTCTACTCCAAACTAGATCTACGGTCTGGGTACCATCAGATTCGGGTGCAAGAAGAAGACATTCTGAAAACAGCCTTTCGGACGCATGAAGGGCATTACGAGTTCTTAGTGATGCCGTTTGGCTTGGCGAATGCACCAGAAACCTTTCAAAGCCTCATGAACGACCTCTTCCGTCCATACCTCCGGAAATTTATTTTGGTCTTCTTCGACGACATTTTGGTTTATTCGAAATCATGGGAAGATCATATATCTCATTTGCGAATTGTTCTAAAAATATTGTCCTCTAACCAATTATTTGCAAAAATGTCAAAATGTCGATTTGGTGTTTCGCAGGTCGAGTACTTGGGTCATATAATTTCGGAGCAAGGCATGTCGGTTGATCCAACCAAAATACAAGTTGTTATCGAATGGCCTACACCGACATCGGCAAAGGGGGTCCGTGGCTTTCTCGGTTTAGCAGGTTACTACCGGAAGTTCATCCGTAACTTCGGAAGCATAGTAGCTCCCTTGACCCAACTATTGACCAAGGGGGGATTTCAATAGAACGAGACAGCAGAGCTGGCCTTCCAGCAGTTGAAGAAAGCACTCACTTCACCACCAATCCTGTCTTCCGGATTTTTCCCAACGATTCGTGATTGAATGCGATGCGAGTGGAACTGGGATTGGTGCAATCCTTACCCAGCAAAACCAACCGGTGGCCTATTTTAGTGAAGCACTGAAGGGTTCGGCCTTGGCACTATCCACTTATGAGAAGGAGATGTTAGCTATTGTCAAAGCCATTAAGAAATGGCGCCCATATCTGCTTGGGAAACCTTTTACAGTCCGCACCGACCAAAAAAGTCTTAAGTATTTACTCGAGCAACGGATAACTACACCAGCACAAACGCGGTGGTTGCCAAAGATACTTGGTTATGACTACGAGATCGAGTATAAGAAAGGGGTTGAAAATCAAGGTGCGGATTCCTTGTCGCGTATGGCCGAATTTCAATTTCTGTCCATCTCTATACCACATGCAGATTGGTGGCCGACGCTACAAAAAGAGGTTGAACAAGACACATTTTATGAAGAATTGATGAAGAAGCGACCCTCCCACAAGTTGCTTCAACGAGATGGAGTGTGGTTCAAGGGGGACAAAATTTATTTGAGCCCCGCCTCCACCTTGATTTCAAAGGTAATGGCGGACCGCCACTCATCCCCAGTAGGACACTTTGGGTTTCATAAAACTCCCTCTCATATCAAGCACAGTTTCCTTTGGCCTAACATGTGTCGGGCGGTGAAGGAATTCTTGCAGCAGTGACGTGTGTCAACGCTTCAAAACAGATTGCATGAGGCCAACGGGGTTGCTTCAGCCGCTACCGATTCCCACTCAAATGTGGACAGATATCTCGATGGACTTTATCGAAGGGTTACCTCCTTCCAATGGGTATACGGTTATCATGGTAATTGTGGATCGGTTGACCAAATATGCCCACTTTATCCCCTTAAAACASCCATTCACCGCCACGACAGTCGCTAAGGCATTTGTCGCCAACGTTGTCCGCCTACACAAAATTCCGACATCCATTGTTAGAGACCACGACAAGGTGTTTATCAGCTCATTTTGGCAAACACTTTTCCAAATGCATGGGACGAAGTTGTGTATGAGCTCAAGTTACCACCCCCAAACCGACGGGCAAACCAAAGTTGTTAACCGAACGTTGGAGCAATACTTACGATGCTTAGCAGGTGACTAGTTGCGGAAATGGTTAGAGTGGATTCCTTGGGCAGAGTACAGCTACAACACATCCACTCACTCTTCCACCAAGATGACACCCTTCGAAGCAGTCTACKGTATCCCACCCCCAAGTCTGCTGACYTATGTACCAGGCACTGCTCGAGTAGGGGCAGTTGATGAATACCTACGTGACCGGGACATCATCCTACGCGAGTTGCAACACAACCTTCAGGTAGCTCGAAATTGGATGAAATGTCAAGCAGACCAACACCGATGTGAAGCTTCATTCGTCGAAGGCGATTATGTGTATGTGAAGTTGCAGCCTTACCGGCAGACTTCTGTGGCGTTTCGGCGTTCTATGAAGCTCGCCCCACGGTACTTTGGGCCATACCCAATCATTGAGAAGATCGGTTCGGTGGCCTATCAATTAGCCTTGCCTCCTGGCTCTCAAATCCATAATGTGTTCCATGTCAGTTTACTACGGAAGCATTTGGGACCAATCACCTCAACTTCCACCCAACTACCCCCAATCTCGAATACTTCGGCCATCCTTCCACAACCGGAAGCTATCTTAGATCGCCGTATTATTTGCAAGGGCAAATACCGTCCAAAATCTGAAAATTTGGTCAAATGGGTAGGGGCACCAGCCGAGGACGCAACCTGGGAAAATGAATGGCGCTTCACCAAATCATATCCTGACTTCCTTGTGGACAAGGAACCTTCAGGGGGGGAGGAAATGATACGTGCATGCATGCACTAGGCGGCAATAGCAGCAGGAGACTCGGTCAAAGTAGTTTGCAGCAGGAGACTCGATCACAGTAGTTTAGTTAAAGTATTTTGGATAAGCCTTAGCCATTTCTGTTTCAGTAGATAAGTCTTCATTTCTGTTTTAGTAGATAAGTCATTTCTGTTTTTTGTTGATAAGCTCCTAAGATCATGGGGCGGTAGTTCCTATCTTAATTCCTAGTTTGTAGCACAATAAGGCTATAAATATAGCCTGAAGAAAGGAATAAANTAAGGCATTTGTCGCCAACGTTGTCCGCCTACACAAAATTCCGACATCCATTGTTAGAGACCACGACAAGGTGTTTATCAGCTCATTTTGGCAAACACTTTTCCAAATGCATGGGACGAAGTTGTGTATGAGCTCAAGTTACCACCCCCAAACCGACGGGCAAACCAAAGTTGTTAACCGAACGTTGGAGCAATACTTACGATGCTTAGCAGGTGACTAGTTGCGGAAATGGTTAGAGTGGATTCCTTGGGCAGAGTACAGCTACAACACATCCACTCACTCTTCCACCAAGATGACACCCTTCGAAGCAGTCTACKGTATCCCACCCCCAAGTCTGCTGACYTATGTACCAGGCACTGCTCGAGTAGGGGCAGTTGATGAATACCTACGTGACCGGGACATCATCCTACGCGAGTTGCAACACAACCTTCAGGTAGCTCGAAATTGGATGAAATGTCAAGCAGACCAACACCGATGTGAAGCTTCATTCGTCGAAGGCGATTATGTGTATGTGAAGTTGCAGCCTTACCGGCAGACTTCTGTGGCGTTTCGGCGTTCTATGAAGCTCGCCCCACGGTACTTTGGGCCATACCCAATCATTGAGAAGATCGGTTCGGTGGCCTATCAATTAGCCTTGCCTCCTGGCTCTCAAATCCATAATGTGTTCCATGTCAGTTTACTACGGAAGCATTTGGGACCAATCACCTCAACTTCCACCCAACTACCCCCAATCTCGAATACTTCGGCCATCCTTCCACAACCGGAAGCTATCTTAGATCGCCGTATTATTTGCAAGGGCAAATACCGTCCAAAATCTGAAAATTTGGTCAAATGGGTAGGGGCACCAGCCGAGGACGCAACCTGGGAAAATGAATGGCGCTTCACCAAATCATATCCTGACTTCCTTGTGGACAAGGAACCTTCAGGGGGGGAGGAAATGATACGTGCATGCATGCACTAGGCGGCAATAGCAGCAGGAGACTCGGTCAAAGTAGTTTGCAGCAGGAGACTCGATCACAGTAGTTTAGTTAAAGTATTTTGGATAAGCCTTAGCCATTTCTGTTTCAGTAGATAAGTCTTCATTTCTGTTTTAGTAGATAAGTCATTTCTGTTTTTTGTTGATAAGCTCCTAAGATCATGGGGCGGTAGTTCCTATCTTAATTCCTAGTTTGTAGCACAATAAGGCTATAAATATAGCCTGAAGAAAGGAATAAAATCATTAGCCTTACTACAATCGGATTCCCTCTCTCTCTTCTCCTTATCCTACTCTGAATCTCTCTCTCCCCTTCCTGAGAACTTAAGCATATCAAATAAATTGCTGCAATGGTATGGGAGACACTTCCATGTATTTAATAATTAATTTAAAGGATAACAACATCACAACATTGTAGGCCCTCATATCACTTCTTGATATATTCAAGCCCTCATGATGTATTCAACAACTTATTTAAGCTACATAACTTTTGAAGGAGAACAAAAATTTTGTGAACAGTGTACCAACGATTTAAAGGATAACAAACATTACAACATTATAAGCCATCATATCACTTCTTGGTGGATACAAGCCTTCATATAATATACAATGTAATGAAATTTGTTAGATGTTGGCACCACTGAAGTCGGACCATCCCCAATCAGCCTACTTCTAAGAACAATTTTTTACTCCATTTGTACACAATACGTGCAGCAAGCTTAGACTTAGGCATCCTCTGAGATCTAATTTCAACAAACCATGAATCTCATAACATCTAAGGAGGACTTGATGCCAGAGTACAAAAAGTAATAAACAACAGAATACCAAAAAACTGAGAAAACATTAAGGCTTAAGCAGAAAAATATCACAAGAAGGAAAATTTGTTAGTTCCCCATCTTCCTTCTATAATTAGTACAACATTTTATAAGCATTAATATCAGGGCCTAAACTTGTAACTCTTTTTTTACCAAATCAAGATACCCTGACCAGAGTAGGTATCTGCCAGACAGCCACCACCAAAATGCTCCCAACACTGTCCAAACAGCCCACTGCAGCCACACATTGGGAACATCTGCCTTGTCATTCATGGGGAGATGTTCCTGATGTGTGACCAAATTGGTTCGTTGGGACAATGTTGGAGCGTTTGTGGGGAGCAGATCTGAACTCCCCTGACCATTATTTATTGCTTAATGGCTCACTCAACATGAAAGAGAAAGTCGTTCCATGAGAAACACCATAAAATAAACACGTCAGTGCTCCCCTGTGCTGATCTGTGAAACATCTGAGAAAAATATTATGAAATCTTGTGTTCTTGCATGGTTCGCAGTTTGGAGAGATTCCAACACTCTAGAGATAGTATCCTTTTTTCTTAGATCAATTATAGTTTACTTCATTAGATAGAAAAAATATTTAAAAATTATACAATCATAGGTCAGAGAGCATGGAAGAACCATCTCCCTCCCATACATTTTTATAAACTTCTTACTACTGTGCCCATAAAAATGTTCCCAACCCACTCCCTATCTAGCTAATCCATCAGCCATTTCATTTACAGATCTTTTCACACAATGAACCTGCAGCTGCATATTCCTTGCCAGTCACTTAAATTTTTTGATCTCATTTCTGTATCTCCATGGAACTGCATCATTGCTACATGGCCAACTAGTTATCACCTTGAATCCCCTTCAATAATTAGCTTTTCCAATTGCACCTCATTTGACATTAGTGTAAAAAAACTTGTCACTGCTTATTCTAGTAAGGCTTATCCAGTTATCCCACTAGAAAATAGAAGGGAAGGGGTTATGAAATAACACACCAACTAGAAACAAACATCAGGAGAA